TACAGGTAGAGGCCTTGCGACGAGCTGATCACCCGCCCAAGAAGTCCTACCGAATGTCTAAGATCTATAAAAACCGAAGTGAACGGAGAAGTTCATGGATGTAGGCCTAGGCCCACTGGGGCTGTAGTGACAAGGAAAAAAGTTATGGCAATAAAAGTATGTATTTATGTATGGTGGAATTTAAAATTGTAGTCTTTTAAATGCGCACGTTATAACCTGGTACTTTTTCAGGTGTAACTCAAGAATATGATTTGTTTTTTTTTGTTTTTTTGTTTTTTTTTTGACTTTGCAATGAAAACAAGTGTTAAAATTCTGACAGAGGGAATGTAAATTCGCTCTTTTGACGGACACTGTCAGGTTTCAGTACTCATTAAAGGAGTCTTACACTCAATTATAATTTTTTCTAAACTAATTATAGTATCGTTAACCATACTGGATCAATTCGAAATATCATTAATGTACATCTGTAAACGTATAGAACCCATCATTCTATAACGTATAATTGTATTTCGTTGAATATATTATATTTAATCGTCACTTGAACCCAGAACGCTAGTGTTATTAATTGCTGTTTCTGTTCGTTATTACCAAGCAATTCTCACCATACACAGGACGTCAAGTTATTTGGTTAAAACATATTTATTTCGATTATCATGTAGTTATTCTCAGATATCATGCAACTTCCTACACTGTAAATTCAGCTGTCAGTTCTATTCTTTTGCGAATATGAATTTTTTTCCTGGCTGTAGAGCCCTCTTGTGCCGTGGCCTCTGATTTTCAGTTTCATTATCATTTTACAGACGGTAGGACTCCCTGGATGAGTGATCAGCTCGTCGAAAGGCCTCTACCTAAACACAGGACATAGATACAGAATTCCAAGCAGTCATGCCTTGTGTGGGATTCGAACTCACGATCCGAGCGAGCGAAGACAGTACATGCCTTAGACCGCGCGGCTACCGTGACCGGCAGTGTATAAGAATAATATATAAGAATTCAGTTCGTACCTCACAGGAAACGGATTCGAACCCACGATCCCGGTTTCCAAGCGAGCGAAGACAGTACATGCCTTAGACCGCGCGGCTACCGTGACCGGCAGTGTATAAGAATAATATATAAGAATTCAGTTCGTACCTCACAGGAAACGGATTCGAACCCACGATCCCGGTTTCCAAGCGAGCGAAGACAGTACATGCCTTAGACCGCTCGGCTACCGTGACCGGCTGCGAAGTACAGATACCAGTTTAAAATTAAAATGGAAGTTGTAATGAAAAGTGATGCTAATCTTATAGCTGAGCTGATAGCGGGGAAGGGGGGATTGCTCCGCCTGGCCTACGATTGGTCGTTCTTCCAAGTCTAGATTGTTCGAGAAGCCTATCAGCTGACGCCCGAAACGCATAGCAAATTTCCAGAAAGGTGACTTGCATACGATAGTAATGGGGGTTGGAGTCCAACTGAGTCCACTCGGCACGGCGGTCACTGATTGGCCTATTGTACCTGCTCCGGGTGATTGTGATGTGGAGAATTTGGTGGAATAAAGACTGGCAGAGGAAACCGAAGTACTCGGAGAAAACCTGCCCAGCACCACTTTGTCCACCACAAATCCCACTTGACAAGGCCCGAGATGGAACCCGGGCCGTCGCGGTGGGAAGCCAGCGACTAACCGCTTGAGCTATGGCGCGGCCTTTACGCATACAACAGTAAATATTAAGCGATAGCGAGATGCAGTTCAGTTCAGTTCAGTTCAATTCAGTTCAGTTCAGTGCGTCGCAGAGCAGAACAGTAAGTACTGAGTGTCAAGTTAGACAGCTATCAGGCCGCGCCATAGCTCAAGCGGTTAGTCGCTGGCTTCCCACCGCGACGGCCCGGGTTCCATCTCGGGCCTTGTCAAGTGGGATTTGTGGTGGACAAAGTGGCGCTGGGGAGGTTTTCTCCGAGTACTTCGGTTTCCCCTGCCAATCTTCATTCCACCAATTGCTCCATAATCACCCCCGCCTATCATCTGGGGCTGGTACAATAGGCCAGGAGTGGCCGCAGTACAAGGGACTTAGTCCCACCCCACTAGCAATAAAAATAAAATAGACAGGTATAAGTTCAGTAGAGGTCAGTGCACTATCTGAACAGCGTTGTACTACAAAGTAAAATGAAAACCAAGAACTTCGTTCAAGTGCATAATTGAGTGCTGACGGCGGGCAACTTTAGTAGCTTCCAACTTTGGTTAATGTCATGTAATTGCTTGGGGGTCTGTGTTCTGTTGCTTTCTTAGCGTTTCCGGTTATTTTTCCTTATTGCTGCTGCCGGGATAGCTCAGTCGGTATAGCGACTGGCTACGGATTGGACGACCGAGGGTTCAGACTTTGAGTCCCGGCAGTGTGAAGAATTTTCTTCATGTTGTCCAGACCGGCTCTGGGGCACACACAGCCTCCTATACAATGGGTACCGGTGGCTCTCTCCCCAGGGGTAAAGCGGCCGTGGCGTGAAGCTAACCACTCACCTCCAGCTAGTGCCGAGGTCAAGAAATAATGGATCTACACATCCACTCCCCCATATGCCTTCATGGCGTAGTGCTTAACTAGTTAAGCACAGGGATAATTTTACCTTACCTTTTTATTGCTGCTAGGTGTTTCGTCATATCTCTTGGTGTTACCTGTATTGAGCGTGGATCCGGACTGATGAGGACAGCCTTGATCCGCGCTCAATGTCGTTTTGTTAACTAACTTGGTATCCGTCGCCTGGTGAGATTTACACTGTGATTAACATATCATTACAAGTGGACACTATCAGTGATTTGTTGCGTACAAGTGATTGTCATTTCTATCATGTAGGATCCATATGTCCGTTGAAAACACAAGTATGAAAATTCCTAGCACTAACTTAATATTCATGGCTCTTTTTTTTGCAGAGATATACAGAATGTCCGGATGGAAAGTATCCAAAATAAATAAATTATATCTCAGAAATCTTTTATTATACACATTTATGGGTTACACCACTACAAAGGGAAACTATCTAAGTTCTTTATGAGTATATAACTTTCTCAGTAAATTTAAATGTGAGCTCCCTTGGTGGCACGATAAATACCCAGACAATCCAGCAAGTTTGGTGTTACCTTAGCCACAGCGTCCCTTATGCGGGCTTTCAGGTGCTGAAGCTCGTTGTTCTGAACTTGGTAGACTATGTTCTTCACATAAACCCAAAAGAAAAACCCACTGGGTTTAAATCTGGCGACCTAGGAGGCCAAGCGATTTGTCTACTTCTGCCAATTCATCTCCCAGCCATCTCTCTGTCCAGACGATTCCTAACATGGTGGCAGAAATATTGGGACGCTTGCGCGTAAACCGGGCATGAAAAAAGAAACTTACAGGGTTTTCCTTTCAGATGACATAAACCTGATACGTGTATGACAATTATTTTCCGAGATATATATTTTTTATTTTGGATACCTTTCATCCAAACACTATATAAGGCAATATTATATTTGAGCATCCTGTTACACTCGCACAATATATATAAGATAAACACCGTCTTAAGTGTAACAATTTTATTGTAGTTCTTTCTTCCTTCTCCTCACTCCCCACTCCATGTTTCGGCCCTAAACGGCCATCATCAGGTGTGTATTCTCACGTAGCTGTTACACTGCCTGTTAAAATTTAAAATCACCAGTCTTTCTAATTGTGTAAACTGTTTGTTAACCTACACGCGTTAATTTTGATTTCTATTTAGCACTTTCTTTTAAAAATTTAATTCAAGTTAAAGTATCTATAAAATTTCTGTTCTTTTCCTTTTTCAAATTTTAAAATTAAATTTTT